GACACAGTCACCAGTCCAGTGCCAAAGGCAGAAACAGCTCCAAAAGTGTTGGGTAAGAGCTTCGTAACATTGATGAAAATTCTGTAATTAATTTCAAAGGATCAAGGATTTAATCTTGCATAATCTGAATACCCAAGCTAGTCCCTCAGACCAGACAGCCAGAAACCATCTGCAACGCTGGAAGAGGCTCCTGGTAAAATAAATCTCTCTGCTCGGTCCTTGTTAAGTGTCCCTCATGTTTTGCACATTTCTTGAAATTGGAGAAACATATTTCACATTCAAGGCACTGAATTTACTGCAAAAGGAGGATGATGTGGAGACCAGAGCTAAGACTCACTATGGGTGTTTTATTTTTATTTTAATGCATAAAGGAGGTTTATCTGCTCAAACACAATGCCTTTTTTTTTTTTTTTGTATTTACATATTTCCCTCTTCTTTAAAGGATCTCTAAGTGCTTCAAGCTGTTAAAAGTCTTCCTGTACATACCTGTCCCTCAGCAGCTCCACTTTGCCTGTATTCCCCACACCTGAGCTGTAATGGCCAGGAGGTGACCTCCATTCTAAGCACCTTTAGCAATTTCTAATTAAAGCCAGGTGGAAATCATTAAAAAGACATTTTTTTAAAGGAGTGGTTTCAAAGTTCTTTCTTCACTTACAGGATCTTGCTTTCCTCCTACTGAAAAAGAACTTCTCAACGAAGAAGAGCGAAGAAAGAGAAAACATCCAAACCAGCACAGCCAAGAGGTGAGTGGATGAGGTCACTCCAAATTAAACTCATACCACTAATTTCAAGCACATCTGAAACGTTTAAACTCCGATGTCTTCTTTCACAGAATACCCTGAGTTGGAAAGGACCCACATGGATCTTTTGAGTCCATGTCCTGGCCCTGCACAGGACAGCCCCAAAAATCCCACCACGTGCCTGAGGGTGTTGCTGACTCATATTCAACCTGCCACTGAGCAGGGCTCCCAGCTCTCATTCCCAAGCCTCTCCAGGATTGTCCTGTCCCAGCTGCAGGATCCAGCACTTGCCCTTGATAAACTCCTAATGGTACTTCCCCAAGGAATGTGATTTTCAGTCCTTCCTTAGAAGCTGCTCCTTCCGTATAAGCAAATACTGCTTTCTCTGATCCACTCGTGTCTTAATCATCACAGTCCATCTCACTCTCGCTCTCTTTTAAGAAATATTTAATTACTCTGGATTATCTCCCCAGGGGGTTGATCAGGAAAGGCTTTAGACATCACAAATCCTGCAGCATCCTTAGGGTAGAACAAACTTTTCTTCCGGATATCAGGGGCAGCAGAACGGACCTCACATCACCTCCAATGAGTGAGAGTAAAAAAAGCAGAGGGAGCAAAAAAATAAGAGACTCCCAATTGTTACACCATCATGGAAAAGTGATTTAAAAAAAAAAAGCAAGAAAAAAAAAAGGAAATATTCAAAATATTCATCTATAGTGTTTCCCCTTCTTCCTGACTGATCTTTTTATGGAAAACCAGCCAAGAAGCTGTTCTAGGGCAACGTAATTTTTTATCTTTTTCGTTGGTTTCTTTTGGCTGACTGTCAAACACCCAGCAAAAATAAACTGATTAAGACGACAGGAGACCTGAACACACTCATGTTGCCAGTGCATCTCAGCATCATTCCCGTGAACCCAAGAGCCATAAAACAATTAAAACAAAGTTAAGCTGACTCCACTCTTAGGATGCAACCAAGTTTGCTCGAAGCCAGGGTCTGGCAGCACCTGAGCTAAAGGGTACCTGCAACTCCAGCACATGTCAAGCCAAAACAGTCCTAAAACTCGGAGCAAACAAGGAGAATGTGGAGGATGGAGCCTCAGAAAAAGCATTTATGTCATAATTACAGCTCTCAACCTAATTGTGTTTGCAAGCCTCCTATTTCTGTATCCAATCCACTGCTCCCCATGTGGTGAATCTGTCCAGTTATCTGTGATTTTTTTTTTCTTTTGCTGCCACCAAATTTGTAGTTTTCCCCAGCTTAAGGCTCACATCAAGCCTTGTAATCAGCGAGGTTTGTACTTAAAAGCAAGAGGAAAAAAGTTACCATGGCTACTACAGTCACTCAGCTTTCTCAACTACTTCAAGACATTAATTCTGAAGGCTTTTTGGCTATGTTTGCACAAAATGTATGCTTCCATACCACTCTGTCATGTAAATTAGGTTGTGCTGCAGCGTTTGAGATCACCTGGGACCATACAATACCTCTGGCTGGCATTCCAAAAAGACTCTGCAAGAAGCAAGGTGATAGTTTCCCTGATTACATTAAGGAAATTATAATTAAATATATTAAATGCGATTAAAAACAATAATAAAATGCTATTTCTTACCCTGCCAAGTGAAGGTAAATACTGAACACAGATAGCTCAGACATTTTCTAGTTCTTAGGCTGAATTTGTAAACAAAATACAGTTGGTGGGTAAATACAGAATTAGAACAAACAAAGACATAAAGTATTTATATGGCTGTAGAAAGTGCTCTGGAAATGCATTTAAGTCATTTAGAAGATGAGGAAAGCATACAGGGGAGTGATAAAATGGATGTAATGTTTGAGGCACACAAACATTCACCTGCCTTGACCCGCCATCCCCTGGGCTCAGACCTGAATGAAAGGGTTGCAATTGGAGTACAAAAGAAAAAAAAAACTTTGTTCAAGGATGCAATTAGTGTGCAAGAGCAAATTAGAGCATCCAGGGGTTCGGTTTGCTGCCTTAGCCACGCACAGAATTCTCCCTAAGCCATGCAAGTAAAATTGAATCATAAGATAGCAACAGTTTTTCTCATTTCTTTTCCTTTTTTCTCGTGTTCCTGTTCTTGCTGGATGTCAGATGTGACCCAGTAACAACACTGAGCAAGGCCACAAGTCCACAACACCTTGTCAGCTGATTGAAACAGGCTTGAATTTTAGGGAAAGCGTGGGCAGCTCACCCAAGGACGAGGGACGTCTCACTGTGGTCTCTGCCCAGCGCTCCCAGACAACCGGAATATTTGTTGGAGTGTATTTATTCCAACTCTGTCCCTCCACTGCCTCATCCTCCTTCATTCATGGGCTTCCTGACAATTTCTTCTCCTTAGAAGTATTTCTGTGTGGCATCTGAGCGCTGGGAATGGAGATTACAGAGATAATGGATACGTTTAAAATTAGACTAAGCAGCTGTAATTCTGAATTTGCATTTCTGACTTGATTATAGTGAGCACTCAGGACTATCTGTGTAAGAACTAGAAAGGAGTTCATGTGCTGCAATAAAAATATATGCATCTCTCTCACTCTGACCCCATTAAAGGGGGAAAAAAGGATAACAAATGGCAGTTGCATGGCAGTTGTTTCTTTGCCACCCTGTAACTTCATTTTCAAGAATCACCTGTGGATTTTAACTAGAAGAATTAAATCGACCAGCTTTCCTATATTTTACAAATGGAAGAACTATTCTTCTACTTACCCTGGATTTTTCTCACTTCAAGTTTTAGTTGTTATCCATTTTATACCTTTCCTTGAAAAGCTGAACAGTCTTTTGTTATCTAAAGAGTCAACATTTGTAACCATGGGATAGCCATTTATGAAACATTTTGATAAATCCTCTATGAAAACCAAGCACAGATGACACAATTAATTTTACTTAAATATTCTGTCACAGTACAAAAAGTTGGAAATCAATCCTTTTTCATTTTGGTAAAAGCTGAAATAGACATTTTCATCATATGATGTTTTACAGAGATGCAGAAAAGAAAAAGAGTAGTTGGGTTGTATATTCAAAGTTGCTCAACAAATATGAAGAATTAACTATGAGTAAATTATCACAGCTGGTCATATTTTTTATCAGGAGCAAAGACCATTCAATAAACAGTCTAGAAAGTTAGTATTTAATGACAGAGAACATCACATTTATTCTCTATTGATTTGTATTCATTCATTTACTTAGAACTATTTATTTACAAAAATCTCCAAACTGATGCAAATTTACACGACAGCTTTAAAGAGGAAATCTCACTATACCAAGAAGCAAACAACAAAATGCTTTTCTAGAGGCAGCAAAGGAGGGAAAAAAATCCAATCAGATAAAAACATCTGCCTCAGACTATTTGAGCGAGTTTTGTTTGCAAATAATTTTTATGCCTCTTTTAGAAAGATTTTATTCACGTTTGTTAATGGGGTCCCTCTGGAAAGGACACAACTATTGCTCCTGACATGATGATACTGCAATAGAAATGGATCCAATGCTTACTAAAATTTTATTCCATTGTTTTAGTGTTTTACTGCATAATCTAGCTTGAAAGTTAAGACTCGAGGAAGAAGCCTTTTGGAGCTACTTTTGATGTTTGAAAAGATTTAGAGAGCTGATAAAAGTGGCTTTCTCAGCTCTGCACTGGATGGACACAGTTTCTGTGTTTAAAATATAAGGAATATTTCCAACTGATGCTTTCTTTATAAGCACAACTTAAGAGGACTGAAAGATTCAGCTGCCCCTGCTGTGCTGAAAGGGCTTTAAAGGAGAATTTCCATAAAGACACATTGAGTGGAATACAGAGGAGTGGCTTCTGTTAGTAAATAACAGAGTATTAAAAATTAAGGTTGATTAGCTGTAGAAAAGGGCCAAGTGATTAATCCATTTAGAGGCTTTAAGTAACTCAAAAGCTTAAGCCCCATTTGCAGAAGTCACCTGGGCAAGTGGGAGCCTCCCCTGGCTGAAAACACTTCCACTTTCTGCTTAGAAGAGTGTGTTCACCATTTGAGCTCCACTTACGTTTAAATTGTCTTCTGTTTTAATATTCTTGCCTACATTAAGCATATTGTAACATATGCTTGCTTTTAAAATACACAGCTTCAAAGAAAAGGATGAGTCCACAGGAGAAAGAAATGTCACATAATAATTACTAAAACACCAGTGATAACAGCAGATTGGAACATCTACGAAAATATCTTTAAAATACTCCGAACACAGAAATTCTTTCACATAACTGCAAAATCCAGCATTTTTTCCTTACCTCTCAGATGCAAACCCTGTGAGATGTTCTTATTGTTACAGGATTCAGCTTCACTTAACTGAATAATTCTCATTACTTAAGAAGCCTGAAAACTTGGGCAGTCTCTGCAGCAATGGTGAAAACGTTTCTCCCCTGTTCTCTGTACCAGAATACTAATGCAAGGGGTGATGTGGCTGAAAAGCACTGCTAGACAAAAAATATTCCAAGGGGAAAAAAAAAAAAAAAAAAAGCCTTGCTATCAGAAAATGGTGATTCAGCAGAGTTAAAGTACTTTAAGGAAAGGTGTGTTTTCTCAACACAATCAAGGAAAAACTATGGAAAAGCTTCCCCCCTGCCCCCTAAGAAGCCAAAATGCTTTGTCTGGTGACAGCACAAGATATTTGAAACACAAAACGTATATGGGGGTGTGGTGGGGAGTGCAGATAGTTCTACCAGGGGAAGAAAATTTTAATTTTGCTGGAAATTTTAAGATTCCCCTCCTTGTTCCATATCAAAATAATTAACTACTCAAAACACGAGGAGCATGAAAACCCTGCCTTTCAACCAACTGCACTGGTAAGTGATGGTATCAACAATCTGATTTCCTGGAGCAGGCAACCTTTTGTCATGTAAATATGACTTCAACCCACCCCACTGTTTGTAAACTCTCAAGAACGCCTGTTTGTGTACAAACGCTGTTTGAAACCAGAGATCACTGTTCTCTCAAAGGCTCATGTAGGATGTTGAGGAAACACTGAGAAAACTTCGAGGTAGAGCTTTTATCCAGAAACCTGATACCAAATTCATTTACATCTCTAGAATGCTGAGCCTGCCCTACCAAAAGACTCCATACAATAGTTTCATCACTCTGAGATATTTTATGTATTTGTTTATTTAAATGTATTATGAATTCCTCAAAGACAATAAGAAGCTGGAATACAAGGATAATGTAGAATCATGTAGCAGAATCATGGAATGGTTTGGGTTGGAAGGGATCTTAAAGCCCATCTGGTTCCAACCCCTTGCCTTGGGCAGGGACACCTTTCCACTAGACCAAGTTGCTCCAAGCCCCCTCCAATGTGGCCTTGGACACTTCCAGGGATGGGGCAGCCACAGCTTCTCTGGGCAACCTGTGCCAGGGCCTCACCACCCTCACAAGGAAGGATTTCTTACATATATTAAGCTTAATTTCTCCCCTTTCAATTTGATCCCATTACTCATTGTCCTACCACTACAGTTCCAGATGAAGAATCCCTTTCCAGCTTCCCCATAGGCCCCTTGGACCCTGGAAGGTGCTGTGAGGTCTCCACACAAACTTCTCCTCTCCAGGCTGAACACCTCCAATGTTCTCAGCCACACTCCACAGGGAAGATGCTTTGGTCCCCTTATCAACTTCTTGGCCCTCCTCTGGACCATCTCCCACAGTTCCACATCCTTCTTACACTGGGGGCACCAGAACTGCACACTGTTGTTAACTTACTTTTCAGCCACTTCTTTTAATAGGCCAAAACCTTGTTTCCTTTCTTTGCTGTCATTTCTTCAGCTTCTTTGTTACAGCACTCTTAAACACTTCTGCCTTTTCAGTCTCCACCACTGCTCAAGGCATGCCAGACTCAGAAGCAGTTTGGTCCCAGTTGGGTCCAGGTGTTGTTGATCCACGTGGAAGATCTCACCCATCAATTCTGGAGCTCCAAAAGGAATGAGTCTCAGCTGCTTCTGCTTCCAGCAGCCTGCAGGGATGGAAGGTGTGCCTGTGGAACGTTCTCCCTGGTCAACCGGCACACTGTATCCCAACAAATGTATTTGTATTTGTTACACAATTGTGGTGTTTACATGACACCAACAAGTTTACCTTAGTCAGGAATTGGCTCTCACGTGGCCTCTGAAATATAATTGCCTTTTTGTCATTTTCACCCTCCCTTCCAATTCTGGTCTTTTTGTATTTTCTCGCATCTTACCTCAAATCAGCCTCAAGGGAACAATTCCCAGAAACCTGAGCCACAAAGACTCCAAGCAAGTTATGTCCTAAGCATGCCACTGTAATTCCTATCAGGTTAGTGATGTTACTCTTTATTTCTGTGTGCTGCCCTTCTTATTTCCAGCTGTATATTGTATTATTTATTTACTTATCCTTTACTGTGAGGTGAGGTCCTGGCACAGGCTGCCCAGAGAAATTGTGGCTGCCCCATCCCTGGAAGTGTCCAAGGAGAGGTTGGATGGGGCTTGGAGCACCCTGGGACAGTGGAAGGTGCCCCTGCCCATGGAACTGGATGGTTTTTAAGGTCCCTTCCAACCCAAACCAGCCTGTGATTCTATTATTATTTCTGTGCAGTTGCCCTTCATCTTTCCACAACCACTTGGTACTACATCTAAACTCAAAGCATTCCTACCCTCTGTACCACCTATGGACAAACTACGGAGCAAAGAAATAAAGAGTTTCACTTTCTTTAGCCAAGCCTTGAAACATGCCACATTGAAAGCAAAGCCTGCTCATCTGAAATGTAATGAATTGCGTGGTTCTGTCACTGTACACAGAAAAAAACCAAATAATCTCAGACTCTTGTGTTCAGACAGCGTGTAATACCTGGAAGGCATTGTCATAACTACCACAGTTTAGCCACAAAACAGATTTCAATAAACGCTGCAGTTACGAGTAAGAAGTCGTATGTAACAGGAAAAAAAAAGTGTTAAGGGATAGCAAATTCAAAACTTTCTGAAAAGTGGGTGTAAAAAACTGGTAGGTGAGGATGAAGACATTTCTTGGAAACAGGAAAAACACAAGGTAGGGGGGGAATTGCAGGAACAAAGAAATCTTAGCCCTCAGGCAGGTGTGCTGTTCAACAAGGACTTTGAGCTACTCCAACAGTGCACAAGGGCAAATATATTCAACAAGTAATTCTGCATTTGTAAAGAAGTGGGAGGATTTGGTGGTACCTCATGAGGATATTCATTATCATCCCACTATAAGTACAATGTTAAAACAACATTACTTTGCAAAAAACATTTTTGGTAGCAGGACCTAAGGTCACCATAGAAAAACGCTCTCAGAAGTGTCCAAGAGGTCTCTCCCACTGACATGAATTTTTAGGGATTCTGAAAATCCCAGGGAAATTCCAGAAGTCTGAATGAACACTTATGTTACTCTGAAAGACTCCACGAGACAGTGGCTGCAGCTACAGGAAGGTTAGAACTATGTCAGTCCTGAACAAAACAAAAATGAAAGAAAAAATTATATGGGATACTAATATATCAGAGCTCTAAAACAAATAACAGGAAGGAAAATAACAAGAGTTGATTTTCTAAGATGAATGTGGTTTTATTTTTTGATACAACTCACACCTCCAGTTGGCAAATATACCTGTCTGTGTGTATAAACTTCTCTGGCACTTGGTGCAGTATTCCATGAGAGCCTGACAGCAAAACAGCACCAAATAAACCGGTGAAGAACTGGTTAAGTGACATCTCAAAAGAAAAAAGAAAAAAAAAAAAGAAAGCCAGCTTTTGAGAAGAACTCATGGTAACATAACTCAGAGTAACATGGAGTTCCCCCAAAGGTGGAGCCACTTTTTCATTTGTAAGCCTACACAATCAATAGTGACACGATTTGCACAAGTGTAAATTGACAGAGATGAATCAGTTACAAAAAGCCATCAGGAGTGCTGGGTATATTCAATTAACTCTAGGAACAAAACATTATATAAAAAAACCCAAACAGGTACAGAGTTATAAAGCCACTATTAAGAAACACATGCCAGTCTATGGAATGATGAACTCTTGTGGAAAGAAACAGTCCTGCAAAGGGCTTGAAGCAACAGTGAGAGTACTCAGAGAAAAGGACATCAAAATGCAGGGCAGCAGATGAAGGCTGAATATGTAAATGTCATGTAGAACCAGCAGAGTAACGCCAGAGAGGTAATATTTAAACTCACAAAACACTCCCGAGACAAGGCGTTGGCATGCTCTATCCAGCTCCCCTTTTCACAAAAATGCTGAAAAAGTGGCTTTGGAAAAAAAAAAAAAAATCCCCAGAAACCGAGTTGTGAGGAAAATGCATGCAGTGACACATTTCTGGAATTTTAGTTCACTTGCTTTTTCAAGTAGAGAAGAGAGGGAATACTGGGTTACAGCACATAAATACTTCCATGGTAAGAAAATACTTGGAGTTCTTCAGCATAGTGGAGAAAGGCACATCAGTAACCAGTGACTGGGAGCTGCAGCCAAATAATAAACAGCAGATTCTCCACCTCTTACAGTCTTCCGATCAAAACTCCAATTTTTCCAGAAAACATGTTTCAGCCAAATGCAAGTTATTGCATTTAACAGTAACTGGATAAAATCCAACTGGCTACAACAGTCAAGGGGTCAGAGCCGAAGATCTAATTGCTTCCTCCGGCTTTAAAGACTCAGTCTACAAATACTCTTGGTTTTCAGGGCTTCAAAGGCATTTCAGTAGTACCATGCACGCTCAACATTAATATTAAAAGAGCTTTCAGAAAATCTGCATGAATTACAGTTGTATTTCCATGTGAGGGCTCAAGTGACACGGGAGCTTTCCTGTGGAGGTTTCTGTCATCAGCAGAGCCCATTAATGGAATTACAGCTATCTTGTACCCAGCTGAGGTGGTATTTTCTGTAAACAAGCATTTACACAATTGAGTGCAGAACTTCACCCTTCAGGTCACTACTTTTTCTCCTCTAGAAAGAATTCTGTTTGACCTGGAGTATAAAAAGCCTGATACGATGCATTATATCAATCATAGGCACTACAGGTAAAGAGGAAAACCAAGCAGCAGCATTGTAACAGCCACAGAGCCAGGAAAATCTGGTGTTTGCATCAGCAGCATCATTTGAGCTGCCCCTATTTATGCTCCTTATCTACCTGGTACTCCAAAACACACAGCATTCACTGCAATCTGCACAAGTTCACAGAATTAACATTTTTCTGGGGACACATGCCAAGATGATACACAGCATACATATTAAATATTCAGGCTGATAGTTTTGCTGTAGCGCTGGCTGCTGTGCTATCTATACATTTCTAAAATAACAAGGAGGGTGAAACACATCAATCCTGACAAAGCACGAACTAACTTCAAATTCAGCAAAGGAAGCTCGAAAAGGCTGAAAT